CAATCTTTCATTTAAAAATCTTTGTCATGGGCCGGCCCGGTGGCGCACTGCTACAGTGCGCCGCTTGGAACCGCGGTGGCGCTCCCGCCGAGGGTTCGGATCCCACATACAGACCGGGTCCCGCTCACTGGCTGAGTGAGGTGCGGGAGCAACACCAAGGGTTGCAATCCCGTTGCCGGTCCCGGTACGGGCGCGACACTGAGGGTTGCGATCCCGTTGCCGGACACGAAAAAGGACAGAAAGGGAAAAAAAAAAAAAAAAAAATCTTTGTCATGGAGACATCACTCCTGTCGCTCTTGGTCCGGTCCCAAGTTGGAACAGTTTACTCTCTTATTTTGGTGGAATACATTCACTAAGTAGCTTCCTGAGAGAAGGACTGAGGGATGGATATTTTCTAAGCTTTTGAATATCTGCATGTGTCATTACTTAATTGCACTTGACTGCCAGTAAGACAGGCAGAGAGCTGTGGGAGCAAATCATTTTCCTCAGTCTAAGTTTCCAGTGTTGCTCTCAAGAAGTCTGGAGCACTTCTGGTCTCCTGTCATTGCATGTAAGCTGTTTTCCCCCCTCCAGAAGTTTCTAGGTCTTCTCCTTACCTCTGTTGTTTCTAATTTCACAATGATGTGGCTTGGACTGGTCTTTTAAAATCATTTGGCTGGGCACGCAGTAGGCCTTTTCAATCTCAATTCTCAGATCCTTCAATCGGGGAATTTTCCTTGTGTTATTTCTTTGATAATTTCCTCTATTCCATCTTGTCTGTTCTCTTTTTAGGACCTCTATTTAGTCAGATGTTGGGTCTCCTGAGTTCAGCCCTTAATTTTCTTACATTTTTTTCTCTGATTTTCCCTTTGTCTTTCTGTTCTATATTCCAGGAGATTTTTCTCAACTAATCAACTTTTCCTTTGAATTTGCGGGGGGGGGGGGCGTCTTTTTTTTTTTTTAACTTATAGAATTCTTTCTTGTTTTCTGGTTGTTACTTTATAGCAACAGGAAATTAACTCATCTCTCTGAGAAGACAATTCTTTTTCTTAAAGTTTTCTTGTACTTTTTTGCATTGTCTGTTTTCTTTACTTTTATCCCCCTGTTCTTTGTCTAGGTCTGCCTTTTAAGTTAAAGTCTTGGTTCAAATGCCTGTTTTGATTTTGTCTCCTTATTTCGGATGAGGCACTAAACATCGGACTAGAAGTTCTGTGTCATGGCAGGGTTTGTAAATACTTGAGGTTCACTGTGACAGTTTATTGGGGGTCCAAAGACTATAACTCCAATCATGGCAGGGTTTGTAAATACTTGAGGTTCACTGTGACAGTTTATTGGGGGTCCAAAGACTGTAACTCCAAGTTTTTCCCCTTGTTCTCTTGGGTATTCCATCATTCAATATATATATATATATATAGTGTGTGGAATAGTTTATTATAATTGCTATTCATTAAACAACCATCTCTTGGGCTATGTCCTGGTGACCAATGATTATCTATGAAGAGAGAGTTTGCTTTCCAAAAATACAATCAGTTATAAGTGAGTTAGTACACGTGGTGGTAAAGAGCATTGACTTCAGAGCTAGACTCCTTGGGTTTTAATCTCAGGTTTTCTACTGTGTGACCTCAGGAAGTTATACAACCCGTCTATTCTTCAGGTTCTCAATTTAAAACACAGATAACTACAGTACCTACCTCAAAGGGTTGTTATGAGGACCAAATAAATCAATTATGCAAAGAGCTTAGAAGAGTACCTGGAATGTAGTAAGTTCCACAGGAATATTAGCTATTACTATTTTTTGAATGAGTTGCAGGGTTATTTCTCAGGTAGGTTAAATAGTTTTCAGGCAGTTTGACTGCATTCACTGGGAAGGGAAGTGACACTGACGATGTACTACATGCGGCAGATACTATGCTAGGTTTTCCATGTCATTCTGTTTATTTTAAGCCTCAGAGTCTTACAAGGTAGGCATTATTTCTACTTCACAGATAAGAAAAATGAGGCTTACAGAAGAATGTAACTTGCCGAAGCCTCCACAGCGAGGATGAAGTGAAGCTGGGTCTTAAACCCAGACTTGTCTGACTCTAAGTGCAGGCTTTCCCCATCTACCACACCTCCCATCTGTGAACAAGCCATCCAGCTGTAATCTGCCAACTCCAAATGGCGCCCTTAGGATCCAAGCAGCCCTCCAAGGGCCTCTGCACTCCTTCTTTTCCTAGTGTGTACAGTGAATTAAATTAAATTTTAATAAAGTCATACAATAACATTTCTTGATAAATATCCTCTAATTTATCCCAGAATTTCCCCTTCAAACACTTCTGATGAAATGTCACTCAAAGGCTCAACTCAACATTTCTGATGAAATGTCACTCAAAGGCTCAACTGAGCTCAACTCCCAGGAAACAAGATTAGTTAAACCATGGTATAGGTTTTAAGTTTAAAGGGCTTCTCTATCAGTGATAACTCCACATAAATGGACACCTGGCAAGGACAATAGGAAGCCCGAGGTAGGATAAGACTGTGAAGAAACACTAAAACCAAAAGGAAAGTAACTGTGTAAATATCCAATTTCTCAGAGCCTTACAAACAGTACTTTCTGAAGGAAGCAGAAGAAACTACTCACAATTTCTCCAGAAGGCAGGTGTATAGTCTGTGGTGCCTGCTTGTTCAAAAATTTGTTTAACAAGCGAATGTTGGCAAATGTCCCCCGTGTCATGATGGCGTCATTACCTCGGCGGGAGCCATAGGAGTTGAATTCTCGTGGAGTCAGGCTAATAATGCAAGCAGGAGAGGAGCTGCCTTAGCGAAGCGAGCAAAGATTAAACTCTGCTTACACCAAGAAAAGAATAAAACATAAACCCATAAACCCAGCTATTTCTCCATGTCTACTAAGCTTGTTCTCCAAGGCAGAAAAGCTGTTCCCATAGCTTCAACTGAGGGTAGGGTGAGAGGTGAGAGGTGAGATGAAGAAAGTGGAAACCAGTGATCTCCTGGGGTCAACTTAGGGTCTTTCAAATCTGGGTAGAAAAATCAAGAGGAACTTTTTAAGAAAGAGTATTTACTTTTCTTACTCAGTGGAGTAGCCTTCATACAAGCTAAAAAAGCTTGATTAAAAATAAGTAAGAAAATAGAAGCAAAGAGAATAACAAGTGTAGGCAAATCAGATGGAGCCAAGACTCAGGGGAAATATAAAATATGTTCTATAAACTAACCAGAAGTAGGTTCAAATTTGTCCCTGAGTTATCAGCAACTCAATGCAAAGTGAAGAAACACAACGGAGAATAACAAGTGTAGGCAAATCAGATGGAGCCAAGACTCAGGGGAAATATAAAATATGTTGTATAAACTAACCAGAAGTAGGTTCAAATTTGTCCCTGAGTTATCAGCAACTCAATGCAAAGTGAAGAAACACAACGGACAGTGTAACCAGCTCTCATAAGACGGAAGTCAATGCAGTGCCAAAGAGGCAGAACAGCTATTTCTGGTCCCAACCACAGAAAAATCTCGGCTGTGGGCCCCAATGAAAGGAAACTTTGTGATGTCAGGAAGAACATCTTACAATTAACACAGTGACCAGTTCACTGGACTGTTTCTTAAAATACCAGGGGTGGATGTGAGTGTTAATAAGATGTAATGGTTAGATCTAATTTGAGGATTGAGAGTTTATGAATGGCCTTCAGGAGCAGGTAACCATGTCGAGGAACCCCTGAAATCCAAATGCTGTGGGTCTGTGCATTTTTCTGGGAACACATTGTATTTGCTTTCATTTAATTCCCTAAAGAGTTCATGTCTCAAAAGAGGTGAAGAATCACCATCAAAAAAAGGTGTTTGGATTCTGTTCCTCACATTTGCTTTGGGTCCATCCATGAAGAAGCTGATTCAGGAGGTGGGGATAGAAACCAGGAATTTTTATCTTTCCATATGACTCTCATGGAAAATCAGATTTGGGAACCACTGACCTTGATTAATATTGATCTATTACATAACAGTAGATAATACTGGTATAATATCTGTTAATATCAGTATATTACTGAAGGATTGATGAATAGATGCAGGTCTCTATAAACATTATGCCTCTCAACCAGGATATGGCAATGCCCTTCAGGTTCTATCAGGCTTGCCACAGGTTAAAAGCAGAACCTTATAATTTAACAACCAGACAGGCTGGGGGCAGGGATGACAATTGGGCCTAATGCTTACATTTGCTCAAAAAGGTCACTCTCCCCTTCCCCCTGCTAGGATTCCTGGGCTGATGGATTCTCCCACAGAAGCTGCTAAGAAAAAGCAATTGGTTTTTGAGCCCCAGAGTTCGGTGAAAAACCAGAGTCGACTCTAAAGAGACCAAGTAAAAAGAGAAATACTGGCCTCATTTGCTCCATTTATTCCATTTTTGCCTTTAGTCTTTCCTATCTCACTCATACTTACCCTCTGTTAGTTAAATAGCGAGCAGCAGGGCTGTTTCTTGCAATATTTCCAGCTGGAGAGATGTGGTCCGTTGTTACTGAATCTCCCAAATTTAATAGCACATAGGCATCCACTATAGATTTAGGGGGCTGAAGATTCAAAGTCTAGCAAAGAATACAAGAAGTCAACGTTTGCTAGGTTATCTCCAACAAGTCCCCAGGTGAGTCTCCACAGTAGTGGTCCATGGACCTGAACCAGACGACAATTCTACATCAGTGCACAGAAAATCCTAGTTTTCAGGTTTTTATCAGGGATGCTGAGAAAAGTAAGTTAAATTTACTCAAAACTCATATCTCAACCTTGAGAAGGCAAAATACTGGCACTATTCCTTCAAAAGCAACAGGAATGCAGCTGCAAATGACACTCTGTCTCTTCACATCACAGAACTCCTCAGATGCTAAGGACAAGTGGAATCCTGACTTCTACGCCCATCCCTTCCCAGGAGGACCCACCAGGGGAGCAAGGACTTCCTGATCATCAGTTTCAGGAAAACATGTTCCACATTTTTATGGGTATAAAATTTCAATATGGTAAACCCTGGAGATGTTCTCCTGGAACAGTCCCTCAGACTTTACTGAGTCTATGTCCAGGTGGTGCCTAATTACCAGGGTGCCCCTGCCCTGCCATAGGGCCCACTACAGCCAAATGTATAGCCTCCAAGACTCTCCCCAGCACCATCTGCTTGGGTTTGCAAAATTTTAATGAAATAGGTAGTTAAAGCAAGGGTATGGGGTAATAAAGTAGATTTTATAAGGAAAGAAACCTTTTGCAGAACCTGTTTTGTTAAGAAATAAAAAGTCATACCAGGTTTTCAAAGAATGGTGGTGATTTAATGTATGTAGATTTGGGATTCCACAAATACAGCTTGTCTGATGGGGCTGATAAGGCATTCCAGCTTTCATTCACAGTCTTAAAAAAAAAGGAAAAGAAAGGCAGATCAAATCACATTCCATTCTAGGGAAAATTTAATATGCAAATGCAAAAAATACATTCAAGCTAAGAAGCATATACAGCTTGTCTGATGGGGCTGATAAGGCATTCCAGCTTTCATTCACAGTCTTAAAAAAAAGGAAAAGAAAGGCAGATCAAATCACATTCCATTCTAGGGAAAATTTAATATGCAAATGCAAAAAATACATTCAAGCTAAGAAGCACAATAAAAATCATTTTTATTCTAAACAGTGTCACAAAAGAGTTTCTTTATACTAAGATTATGTCATGCTATGTAACTTAAAAATACATATGCATTCTGACAGGTAGCTTCTAAGATGGTGGTAATGATCCCCACTCCTGGGATTCACACCTTTAGGTGACCCCCTCCTCTTATGAGTGTAGGCTGAACCTAATGACTCATTTCCCAGATTAGGTTACAAAGAGACTCTGCCTTCTGTCTCCTGGCTCTGATGGAAGCCAGCTACCATGTTGTGAGCTGTGAACAGACCCATGTAGCAAGTGCTTAGGGAGGTCTCTAGCTAACAGCCTGTGAGGAACTTTGTCCTGCCAATAACCACATGAGTGAGCCTAAGTGGATCCTCCTCCACAGACTGTAGTCCCGATGACCTTTTGATTGGCAGAGGCAATTGTAAAGCAGAGGTGCCCAGTGAAGCTGCACTTGGATTCCTGATCCACACACACTGAGAGAATAAATGCTTGTTGTTCCAACTCATTAAGTATTGGGGTAATTGTTGTAAGGCAATAGATAACCAATACTCATATAGATACTTATAAATAATTCATGAAATAATAATCCAGATTGTACCAAAGGGGAAATTATTTACTCTTTGAATATTTTGTAGTTTGGGAAAGGATTTCCAGGTTACATGGAAGCTGGATTGCAAATGACAGCTGTTATGCACTCGGAGTGGCTTGAATTCTCCACAGGTCCATTAACTTAGCCTTTGGAGAAACACCTTAAACCCAGGGTCTGCCGAGCCCCCTCATGTCACTCCCCCGGCAGCTTGTGGGAGGTGCAGTGTGTGGACACCATGCCCGTTTCACGCTCTCCAGACGGCTCTGCTCTCATCTCAAACCACTAGCCCCAGTCAGAAGCCCCTGGGTCAGCCTAACAGCTTTCCCTCAGCAAGCAGGGAAAGGAATAACGTCCAAAAGACTCAGAAAGTAATACTGAGCCCCATACATTTTCTCCTACTTGTAAAATGCACAGAAAGTTTTATTTCAGCAGTTCGACACTTCCTACAGAGTGGCTTTACTTATTTATTTAAGTATCCAAATGCTGCATTGAGAGGTGCATTCAACCAACTCACTCCACCTCAGTGACACAATATAGTGACCAGCAGGGGTCCTCACCACAGCTGACACACCCCCAGGGTGTCTGAGAAAGGGCTGAAGTTACAGACAGCTGAACCTGAGGCCTTTCTTCTTGAGGCTGTGCTGTGGATGGATTGAATTGTGTCCCTCAAAGTTCACATATTAGAAGCTTTATTCCCATTGTAACTGTTGAGGGTGGGAAATCCTATTATAGTAATTGAAAGGTGGGGCCTTGAAGAGGTAGCTAGATTGCAGGACCATGATGTAGTGAATGAATTTACAATGGTGGTCAGGGGCGTGGTTCTGAGGGTTTTAAGAGGACAGCACATGAGAGTCTCTCTCTCTCTGCTCTACCATTTCCTGCCACGTGAGACCCCTGCAATGCCGTAAAGCCACCACCAAAGACCCTCAGCAGATGTGTCCTCTGGACTTTGGACTTCACAGCCTCTGAAACTGTAAGCAATAAATTTCATTTTCTTACATATTACCCAGTTCCAAGTATTCTGTTATAAGCAACAGAAACAGACTAATGTGGGCTGTCACCCACTTGTCCAAATCTGGGAACATCTGGGGAGTGTGGGGTTTTCAAACATGTGAATCATGGAAGAAAAATGACTGAGAACCACTTCCCTTGTTATTTGAAAAAATTCATGTTACTTTCTACAGTTTCTACTCCCTTTAGTCTCAAGGTCTGCAGATACGGTACATAGGAGCTGCTTTCCCTTAGATCCTTGGGGAGGGGAGGGCAGCAAGGGACCTCACCTCAATTTTCTGGTAGACCTCCTTAAATATCCCCGGGATGACATACTGACGCTCTACTGCCTGGATCTCATCTCTGGTAGGCCAGATATCTTTCAGAAATACTGGTTGTCCCTTTCCATTTACCCCTGGGGAGAAAATGTTTATTAATGAGAAAAATTTTCTAATACTGAATTTTCATTATTACATACAGTCACATCTCATTCTTCTCAGTAGTTTTGTTCTATAAGGCCTGTGTGAACACTGCCTAGTGAATACTGAATCACTGCTCCTAGGGGAAACAGCATTGGGTTCCTGTGAGCCCTGGTCACATTTTTGTCAACTGATCAATACATAACCTTGTTTTATGTGTGCTTCTGTTTAAAGACACTTAATTTAACCTATACTGTTGACTCATTAACACTAGACTTATAGCCAACAGCACTATAACTCATGCCTGAGTAAAGCCTTTCTAAACACTGCAGCCTTCTTGGGCTTAGGAACACCAGATGGCACTTCAGCACTATGGTCAGGGGCCACATAACAGTGAAATCACCACAAAAATGCAAAAAACATGGCACTAAATAGACTGTGAAAAAAATAAAAATGCAAAAAACATGGCACTAAATAGACTGTGAAAAAAATACTTGTTTATAGTACAAGAGTTGAAACAAGAAGGCAGAGTGTTGTCTTGTTTGATCTCAGCACGGAACACATGCGCTGAAGGACGCTAACTTTTCACCCCTCTGTGCGACTTGTTTATAGTACAAGAGTTGAAACAAGAAGGCAGAGTGTTGTCTTGTTTGATCTCAGCATGGGACACATGCGCTGAAGGACGCTAACTTTTCACCCCTCTGTGCGTGTCTGTGAATGACCACGAAAGCACCATAAGTATTGATTTGGGGGCTAAAATATATTTGGGGAAGTAGGAAAATTTGCAATAGAGAATCCACAAATAATGAGGATCAACTGCACCTCTCAAGTTACGAATTCCTAAAAAAGTAAATTTAAGGGGCATTGTTTTCCTGTTATCTAATCTGCTTAGAATGGATAGCAAGTGAGAGGACCAAAGGAAAAGAGATAAAGCATCATTTCTCCAGAATTTTGAGTTGAAATATTTGGAGTGTGTTCCTACAGAGTGTTTACCAAAACAATGCCTATTGTCAGACGAAAGTGGGAGATGGGAAGAGAAGAACTGCAGACGAAACCAGATTAGCAACCACTGCCACTTCTGGCATTCATTTCTCTTTTGTCATCCCTTCCCCTCAGCAGATTCTTCTTTAACTACTTCAGTTATGTTTTAGCCATGTACTGGGGAATAAAAACAAGATTCTCCTCTTTGTCTTATCTCTGGAAGGTATATGCTCCATTTATTATAAATGAAAGCAGCAACTTTCTTCCAGTAATATTTTCGAATTCACTAGAAAAAAAAATTACAGCCACATAAACAAAATCTTACCCAATGGCTCTTTCTCAAAGTTGATCCTGATGGTCCCAGCAATTGCATATGCTATTACTAAGGGTGGGGAGGCTAAATAATTGGCCCGAGTGTTGGGGTGGACTCGACCTTCAAAATTCCTGTTCCCAGACAGTACTCCAACGGCTACAATGTCTCCCTGTGTAAGGCAAGGGAAAAATCAGGTCACCAAGAGAAGAGATTGCCTAGACTTCTCATCTTTGGAATAGTTTCCACATCGCATGGACGTAGCTCTTTAAGCTGCCCTTTCACCTGGTGCTCTGCTACTACTGGAGAGAAGGGTATACACAGGTGTCCCTGTGGGAGATACTCTGGGTCAAAATGTTCAGTAGTTTCTGCTCATGAGAAAACAGCAGGTAGTTTAGAAGGCAACATCCTTGTTATTGCTGCCTGAGGTCTAAGAAGAGGTGGGAAAGACTAAAAGCTGAGAGCCGAAGGAATCCACAATGACTTATAAATTCTATAATTAATGCAAAGAGAACCAAATAGTATTTTTCAAGGCTAAAGAACTTTGTGGACATATATCAAGCCAGTGCAATTTAGTTTAGATTCATTTGTGTAAAGACGTGTCTGACTTTGAACCAATTTTCAAATTATTGGTAACAATTCTTTAGCCCAAACCAATTCTGGCAGTCAAAATTTAGCATGTATTGAACACTTACTTGTGTGACAGGCACTGCACTAAGTGTTTTACGGTCGTCCTCATCTTAACTCACACAAATGTATAAAACAGATACTCTTACCACCTCCAACTTACAGTTGTGGAAACGGAGACACGAACAGGTTAATAAACTTATAATTTGAGCTTAACTTCAAAGACCGCACTCTTAACCACATCCCCTGCTTCCATGGACCTTCTTGAAATTACCAGCATTTTTTTTTCTTTTTGGTAGCTGGCCAGTTCACAGGGATCTGAACCTGTGACCTTGGGGTTTTAAGGCTACACTCTAACCGAATGAGCTAACTGGCCAGCCCAAAATCACCAGCATTTTTGTCACACATTGTATGAAAAGCAGCAGCAGCTCTGAAGACCTACAGGCTCCTCTGAGATTACCTGCGTGATGGCTTCTACCACAGGTTCTGGCAGGGGCCCACTGTTGCCAATGCAGGTCATGCAGCCATAGCCCACCACGTCAAACCTAGGTGCCAAAAGGGGAGCACGAGAAAGAAAACGACTTTCAGTGAGCCCTGCTGCTGAGAACGGTTCCTGGAGACCACTGATCAAAGAGGAACAGTAGCGCATGAAGTAAGTTTAGTACAGAGCTATTTCTATAAAGCTTTCATTCTTGAGAACATTTTGATATAGCATATCAAAGAAGAATACTATTCATATTTTTAATGTCTAAAAAGGAGTCGGATTGAATGACCTAGAATTTTTAAAAGTCACAATCATATATAGCATTTAATGTCTCCATTCACTACCATTATTGTACAATCCTAAGGACTTTAATTTTATGAGGCACAAGAATAAAATATTTATCATCCAAATTAAGAATAATATGGAAACTGGAGAAACTGTATTTTGCAACTAATAACTAAGTTGCCTCAATGAATTAGAATGTTTTTAGCTATGGTAAATAACTATTTCCATGCCAAAAGGCAGACAGACTCTCTGTTGCAGAGCCACTGCTAGCCCATAGCATACCTTGGTGCAACTAAGAAAAGGCGCCCCCGTTCTCCAGGAGAGGCAGTACTGCTTCAGAGCACAGAACTTGGTAAGCATAGCACAGGCTCAATTTCAGCCTCTGCAATGCCCTTACAGGGCATCCTTGTATGATTAACAACTAGCACAACCATAGAGGAGGACCCTACTCAGTTAAAATGTAAGGGTTTAAGTCTACCTGCCATCTGATAAAAGGCTACACTTTCAGTGAGCCCTGCTGCTGAGAACGGTTCCTGGAGACCACTGATCAAAGAGGAACAGTAGCGCATGAAGTAAGTTTAGTACAGAGCTATTTCTATAAAGCTTTCATTCTTGAGAACATTTTGATATAGCATATCAAAGAAGAATACTATTCATATTTTTAATGTCTAAAAAGGAGTCGGATTGAATGACCTAGAATTTTTAAAAGTCACAATCATATATAGCATTTAATGTCTCCATTCACTACCATTATTGTACAATCCTAAGGACTTTAATTTTATGAGGCACAAGAATAAAATATTTATCATCCAAATTAAGAATAATATGGAAACTGGAGAAACTGTATTTTGCAACTAATAACTAAGTTGCCTCAATGAATTAGAATGTTTTTAGCTATGGTAAATAACTATTTCCATGCCAAAAGGCAGACAGACTCTCCGTTGCAGAGCCACTGCTAGCCCATAGCATACCTTGGTGCAACTAAGAAAAGGCGCCCCCGTTCTCCAGGAGAGGCAGTACTGCTTCAGAGCACAGAACTTGGTAAGCATAGCACAGGCTCAATTTCAGCCTCTGCAATGCCCTTACAGGGCATCCTTGTATGATTAACAACTAGCACAACCATAGAGGAGGACCCTACTCAGTTAAAATGTAAGGGTTTAAGTCTACCTGCCATCTGATAAAAGGCTACGCAACTAAACACCATCAGATAAGCTCACCTTGTGTTACAAGGTGACACAGCAAGATGAATGAGCAATAAGATACAACAAAAGCAATGATGTAAAAGGCAACTCCCTCTCACCCAAGCTGAGACAGATAAGGCATGACTCCGCTTTCTCGTAGGTAGTAGGTGACCACACCACTTCCAGGAGACAGGCTAGTTTTGATGTAAGGCTTCACATTCAGGCCAGCATCCACAGCTTTCTTTGCTAACAGTCCTGGGAAATGGTAAACACAGACACACTGTGGGTGGCCGCCTTCTCAGATGCCAGGAACACTTCAGAAAAAAGACTGATTTTTCTGTCTGCATTTCCTGCCACCACCTGACAAAGCCCCCTCCATGTTGGCACTTTCTGCCATCTAACAGAAATCAAAAGCTCACTGGCCCAAAGTCACTTCATGTATGCAGCAAACTCAAAATTAGTCATGGAAATAAAGACAGAGAGGTACTGATTTTTTTTTTAAGAGATAAACCTAAAATCATTTAGAAATGTGTTACAAAATGAGTTTTTAATTTTTGGAAAATTTTAAATTAATAGCTAATTAATAAATTAAGTAATACATTATGTTTGATTTGGATGAAAATTATAATTGAATTAGCCCTTTCTAAAAGTATATCACTTGATGAGAAATACAGTCAGCCTAGAGATACAAATCTAGTCTACAGATATTTCTTGAAGTGGAAGATCAAGATCTCCTGGGGCTTCTGACTTTTGGCAAATACAGAGACTGTTACTGGAACACTGGGTGCTCTGTCTGCAGAAGTATCGCAGAAGTAGGAAAGAAATGAATGGGATGAAAGTATAAAGGAGAGAAAAGTTACAGACAAGCTGGTGACCTGTCTTAAGAAAACTGGTTCGCTCCAAATAAGGAGAGGTTAGGTGACAACAGATGAACTCTTAGACAAAGAAGTTCTCTTATGTCCATAAATTAAGAACTGTTGGCACTGCTTAATCTTAGGATAAAAGAGAAAGTCAGGGATGACTAAAAGTTTGGAAACAAGAGAACTTATTATGTAAAAAAGAGACCCTGCATGTAAATGTTAACCACTTAACTAGAATTGCACAACAGGTCAGGTGCACTGCATTTTATCAACCAGCGCCCTGTGCCCTAACTCGGATGCACTTGCCAACAAACCCAAGACAGTACTAAATTCTGCTGGTCATGGTTTTTACAGAGAACAAAGTCTATGACATGATGACAGTGTTTTTTTCCTTCCAAAGTCCGACACAACATTCTAGGCTTTGCCAGAAATTCAGCTTCTTTTGTTTTCCTCTACTTATTTTCTGTTAATTCTAAAGAGAAAGACTTATGCATTAGGTATTCTATTTCAAACACTTTGCTTTGGATGCTATTTATTGTGTATATATCTGGGCCAATAAATCTCTACTTCTGGAAAAGACAAGGTTCAGGGAACTACATGTAGAACCTCGGGAGAGTTCCACCTCCACGTCCACATGACCATGGGGATGCATTCAGATTTGTTTACCTGCTCCTAACATCACAGATGGATTACTGGTGTTTGTGCAGCTAGTAATGGCAGCGATGACCACAGAACCATGAGCAAGGGTGAATTCACTATTATCATAGATAAATGTCTTATGGTCATTATGATGGTCCAGAGCAACTTGGAATCCTTTAAATCCTTGCTATAGAAAGAAAAAAATACATATATATTATATATAGGAAGAAAAAATATATATGCGAGATATATATATCTTGTTATAGGAAGAAAAATAACAAATACCTCCTTCCCACCTAAAAAATGGAAATGCTAAAACTACAAATTTAGTTCAAAGTTACTCTAAATAGAACTTGATGACATTACTGTACAGTTTAATAGATACGTAATGACTGAGGATACTGATTCTAATCTTACGGAAATTTAGAAAAAGGTGCCATTTTGACCAGATTTAACTAATCATGACCAATAAGGCAAACACAGTATAACTGAACGTTTGGTATAATGCTGGTGTCCCGTAGATAAAATCCACCACACGTATTAACCACTCATTTGGGAAATGTTTATTGTAAATCTACTGCATACAAGATGTTATGCTAGGTACTCTGTGGGATACCACAGTGAGTCTGACACAAATCCTATTCTCATATGTACGTCCAGTAAGGGAAATCACACATGCAAATAAAATACCAACAATGTAAGTTAAAGAATATGAATGCCATCAAATGGTTTCAGACCAAGTGGCATGAAGTTTCAAATGAGGGAAAGATGACTTTCTGTTACGAGATTCTAAGGCTACGTTGCAGAGAAGCTGGTAGCTAAACCAAGTCTTACAGAACTAACAGAACAGGACCTGACCAGATGGGGAGTGGCAGAAACAAAAGTACAGTGGCCAGCAAAGCCTGGTAAACACGGTGAACAATATGGTGAGAGTCCTGTGAAAGGAGGTGAGATGTTTACAGATGGTCACGTGCTCTAAGGAAGCAGCCTGGCCTGTAGCTAACAGAGGAGTCATTAAAGACTTCAGAATGGAGGGAAAAAATACTCTCAGCACCAGGCTTCAGGGTTCATCATCGAGTGGGGTGAAAACCTGGCCTAAGAAACCGGTCATGGGGCGGAGTCAGGAGGATTTCCATACCCGAGTCTCCCAGGCCCCACCTTAGCTCCAAGGCAGCTCTCAAAGTCCTTCTTCATGTCAGACACCGCGACTTTGTCCTGAGGCCTTTTGGGTCCACTGCAGCAAGGTACTACTATTTTCAAATCTAATTCCACAACCTGTTTACTCAAAAGAAAAAATTACAGAATTCATATTATACTCACAAAGAAGAAACACGAGGTATGCCAGAGAATTAAAAACAACACAATAAAAATAGGCAAGTAAACAAAGGAAACTACCACATTCAAAAACAAGGACATTAATGTTCGTCTTAACACTTCAGTGATTACTTTCCCAAGATCAAGGTGGGTATCTAAGGAGTGTGGGACAGGCAGGAACCCTTGTCGCTGCTCAGAAAGACCAGGCTGGATGTTGTGGTTGCTGCCCAGCGCCTTCCACTTGTCTGTCCTTGTAAAGCAGTTCATACGTGCTTTTTATCTCTGTGTTACGTTGAGAAGGATTGTCTATTGAAATAGTACATAAACGTTTATTCTTCTAAGGTGATTTGGGGAGGAAGGCAGCCTTAAAGTCATCAGTGCCAGGAAATGATCTTTGTCTAATGGAATATTTCTTTCCCTCAATGTAATATGAACAAAACAAGGGTCCCAAGTCTAGTTTACCCTCCAATCTTGGCTGTCTAGAAAAATGAGGATTCAGTTTGTACCCTAGAAAATAAAGGGAAGTCATGGGATAAGTAGAACTAATTGATAAGTTCACACCTCACTTCTTCCCACGTCTATGGTAACGATGGCCTTAGCCTTCAAATAGCTTTAGTTTCTTCATAAAGTCTTTTCAACCATCTTCCACATGAGAGGCGTGAATCGGTAGTTTGAAAAAGCGGCACACACAACTTAAAACGATTAGGCCAGTAGGAATGTAGGAAGTTATATCATTTTGTTTACAATTTCCTTATCCTTTTGATTTGTTAGCCTTTTAACACCCTGTCCTCCTGCATTGACTTGGCAGTGACTAATTTCCCACAAGTGCACCCCCCCCAAAAAAAACACACACGACTAAAACTGCAGCCTTGAGGAAGAGGAAACACATGTTTGAGGAAGGTGCTCCCCTACCTGGGCGAAGTCTGGATCTTGAGAGGAATCACTGAAATCTCGAAACATTCCTGCAGCCTGAAGATATTTTTTAATGTGCTTTACCTTTTTTTCATCACGACCTAAATGGCATTTTAAGGAACAACAAGTAACCTATGTTAATATCTCTTGGTTAAAGACCATGAATGAATACTTCCATCAGCAATTATATAAGTAATCTGCATTTCACCCACACACACCAACAGCTCTGTTGATATTTCAGCTTTCAAGCTAATTGTTTGACTCTCTACTTAGTGCTGCTTTTTATTATGGGCTATTAACTGATCTATTGCTCTTATTAAAGTGACTATTTTCTGAAAAAGTTTCCTGTTCTACCTATAGATACTCCCCCTCTTTTTTGGTTGTGGCCCTTAATTAGGAGGATCCTAAGCCTTAGCCAATTGTCAAAGCACACCTACGCATTTCCCTTCAGCTGGCCGTAGGGACTCTCAGCACTCCACATTATTATTATTAAAATAATAACCCACCTCCCCCACCCCAAACTACCAGCTACTGA